CTATGTCACGGACCGATCGAAATTTTATAGAAAAGAAAGAAAAGAATTTTTCCTTTCTTTCGTTTTCTCTTTTTTTTTTTTTTTTTTTTTTTTTTCCTTTTAAAAAAAGTAACAAAAGGGTTACAGTTTAGAGAAAAAAAAAAAAAAACAAAAAAAAAGTATCGTTATATAAAATTTTCTTCTGGCAAGAGAAAGTTACGGTTAAATTAGGCGTACAAAAACGTAACGACGTTGAAAATTTTTGCCATGTAATCTTACGCATTGATCTTCGAGAAAAAGGAGTTGCCTTCCATGCATAATAGGTTCCTCTTGGTCTCTTGGCTTATTTAAGTCCAAGTTAGGTCGGATTAGCAGTGCCAATCTTTGGACATCTGTTGTATTGACGGATCGGACGATGGTCAGCTACATCTTTAAATGAGCAACAATGGTTAGGTCTAACACAAAGAAAATACAATTGATGATCAAAAATCGATGACAATTCCAAAATTGTCATGTCATTCGGAATATTTTACTTAATCGATCCCTTCCTGTAGAAAAATGAATACAAACCATTTCTAGGGTTGCGTCTTTTGCGTTCTAATATTAAAGAATATCATATTGAATATAGAATGAAAATTTGCCGTATTATACTTTTTTTTTCTTTTTTTTTTTTTTTTTTTCATTTTTATACTCTTTTTTTTTCTTCTTTTTTTTTTTTTTTTTTTTTTTTAGGTAAGGAACAAGTCATGTGGAATGTCTGTGTGTATATATATATATATATGTATCATTCTGAATTACGTCAGGATTGTGTTGTAATTAAAAAGAAAAATTATATTAAATACGGAATGAAATATTTCATATTATATTATTATTGTTCATGGTAGAGTCAAAGTTTTCGAGATTACGAAGAAACTTTTTCATTTGAAAAGGAACCGATCTTAGGTAAAAAAGCTAAAGAATGTTTGCCGTATTATACTTTTTTTTGTAGGTAAGGAACACCATAATATATATATCATTCTGAATTGCGTCAGGGTTGCGTTGTAACATTAAAGAATAATATCATATTGAATATAGAATGAAAAAATAATGAAAAAGAAAAATTATATTAAATACGGAATGAAAATATTTCATATTATATTATTGTTGTTCAAAATTTTCGAGATTACGAAAAAGTTACGAAGAAACTTGTTTTTTTTTTTCATCGGGGAAAAATAAAACGAACCACCGATCTTAGGTAAAGAAGCTAAAGAAAGTGTTTTTCCTTTAACAATCTATTTAATGAGCTTATATACGCTTGACTAAAAAAGATTTGCTTTTTATGAAAACGGCGGCTTACAGATGTCAGTCGTTCGTCATTTATGGTTTGTCGATGGTTTTCACTGAAAAACCCTCTTCTTTTAGGTCACAAGATTATTTGCGAAAGAGTTTTCGGTTTCGGTCAGCAGTACCGTTACCGCCCACAGGTCCTCTTTCGTTTTCATTGCTCTTGTTGACAATAGCCCTTCGTGACTATGCTATACAGGTTCTAGAAAATACTTTTTCCTTTCTTTCTTTCTTTCTTTCTTTCTTTCTTTCTTCTTTCCTTTTTTTTTCTTTTAACCTGACTGAGTTGCGTCTATGTCGTTATGGTTTAAAAAAAAATGAACCTAGAAAAAGGAACAATTCTTAGAAAGCCTTAAATCGTTTTAAGAAATAGGATTAGAAAATTGGTCTTGAAATATTTCTTGCTACAGATTGAAACAATCAGTTTGTTCGGTCTGTTCGTTTAAGCATTGCCACGATGACATCTCGTTGATTTATTATCGTTGATACATTAATGCAATATTTTCCAGGCTTCGAACAGATTAGATTTAGAACTACGTTGAGAAAAATGCATAAAAGAGGAGCACCGTATAAGAAAGCAAAGAAATCGAAGAATCCTTTCGATGGACAACCCTTTGCTAAGGGCGTCATTTTAAAAACTGTTATTAAAAAACCGAAGAAGCCTAATTCTGCTAATCGCAAATGTGTTATCGTTAAACTATCTACCGGAAAGGAAATGACAGCCTATGTACCTGGTAAAAACAAAGAAAACTTTCATTTGTATTCTTTATTCAACGCTTTTTTTTTTTTTTTAGCAAGTTTTGAACAAAAATAAATGTATCCTCTTCTTGATTGTATTGACTTTAGGAATAGGTCACAATTTGCAAGAACACAATATGGTATTGTGTCGGGTTGGAAGATTGCAAGATACGCCTGGTGTTAAAATAAAATGCGTTCGGGGGAAATACGATCTTCCGCATGTTAAAAAAAATTAATGTACATAATGTAAATAATTTAAATAAAATATACACATAAAAATATATAAAATTTATATTTCATATATATATATATATAAAATTGAAAAAGTGTGTGACGAAAGTAAGGTACAGTTATTTAGCTATTCAATATCTCCTAGCAATATAAATGTAGCGTGGTCATGCTTTTGTAAATCTTAGTACGCCTGCAAATTGCGACCCTTTGACACACATTTTGAACACCGTGCTTTTACACTGCATTTCCATCTAACGGTAAACTTTGGGCGAACCACACGTCCTTTACATACATACATACATACATACATACATACATACATAACCACGCACGCACACCTACATATATATACGTAAATCCGTCTACAATGCATCCTCACGTCTAGATGCCACAATGAGAAAAGGGTTCTGATGCAGCAGCCCTCGTCTTTCGACGTTATTACGGTAGGGTTGCACGCAGTCTTCTTTTACGCATCTGCACTTTCCTCATTCACCCACGCCGGTCACTGCTTGGCTATTGACCATATGACATCCTGACCAACATCAAGATATTTCTGGAAAAACTGGTTCTCAAACTAATCATACGATATCAACTTATTGATAAATATTTAACCAATTATTGATTTTTTTTAATATTAACAAAAAATATATATATATATATATATCGCATTTTTGTGATATAAAATTTTGCGAAATTGAACATTTTTTTAAATAATTACAATTATATTTTCCAATAAAATGATATTTCTGGCAGAGGGAGGAGGGTAAAACAATGAATCGTGAAGAAAAAAAATACAGTAGTTCGGAAATGTTGATTAAGGTTCCTTTTCCTAGATATTCATTGCCACTGGAAATTCGATTTTCTAGTTTCTATAACAAAGGTTTCTATTGTTCGACCATGAGAACCCAATGCCATGCACGCCTACAATCGTCTCTTAAGAAGGGATGATGACAATGACACTGACTAAAATCGCCACGAGACCAACACGCGCCCAACGTTGCATTCGTCGACGTCTGCTTCGTTAAATTTTTCGTAATCGCCAATGAAATTTGATTTTGTCGTAAGAAATATATTCATAATTCTACGAAGACAAATAAATCAATCGGTTTATTATTTCGATGCGATAAAAACCATGGTCACTGTGCAATCCTTGAAGTACAATAAAACTGTAGGGGGCTGTTCGAACTTTGATATTTTGAAATAATGAAATCCTTGAGGAAAAAAAACTTTTGTTGAACGGTCATTTCGAACCATAAATCAGTAGCAATCATTAATCATTTTCACAAATATTTTCAATTAATTAAATAAATCGAAATATTATTTTTGTTAGCTTTCATAACTCACGAATGACGTCGTCAAAGTTGAAAAAACAATAAGATTGCAATAATTAATTAAATATAATGAATACTTTATTATCATACCGGATCTGTTTCGTCGTTCCTTATACCGTTTTTCGTTCTCTGTTTAAATAGTAGAAAAATATCGAGAAAGGTGAAATTCAAAACTTTCTTCAATCTTTTTCCAAATGCTTTTTCGTTGGGGTTGTTGTGTCAACTCTTTACCGTAAGGCTTAGTAACGGGACACCGCGAGATTTGCTCTCGAAAGTTTTTGTCATCGGTAACCCATGATTTCGAGAGGAGGAGAGATCTTTGTGGTCTTTCTCATGGATTTTGGATCCATCTTTTGCGATCGCAGATGACCCATTGGCATATATTTTATATATACTTTGTAGATATATAAGATGTAGATGATATATATACATATATATGTATATGTATAGATATACTACACACATATACAAAGAAAAGAGATATTTTCTGAAACGAAGGAAATACATTTTCTGAGAAGAATCATATATTTATGAAAAAGGCGTGTCGTATAGCAACGCCCTAAATAGAAAAAATGGAAACGTTACCACCGGAAGTATGCAAATCTTAAAAAGTATATATGTATATTGTTGACAAAACTTTATCGGTGGTCCGTAAAAGAAGATAAATCACTTAATAATTACCTAAATACCCTATCTAGTTCTCTCTTTCCTACTACTCAATGTGTTATGTTCTCGATTGTGTTATTCGATTTTTCATTTTCCTTTTACTTTTACTTTTCTTTTCTTTTCTTTTCTTTTTTTTCTTTTTCTATTTTCTTCCGTCGGATAAATCTTTGCGTTAAAATCAGAAGACAACGATGAGAAATATTTTATATTTCTATATTTTTGTTTAAACATACGACGTATGTATGTATATATATATACATATATGAGATATTATA